TTGACAGTCTGACTGGCGACTGCTGAAATAATGGTGTTGAGAATGGTTAACTCCAAATTGGACGCTCTTTTAGTTGGGGCATTTAACCTGCAAAATGGAATCAATCAGCCCTTTTAAATCTGGGAGATTACAATGCATGAGATATGCTGTTCATGCTGCATTCTTAGTCCATCTGTGCCTCTAGCCCTCCGCCTTGCCCCTTTCCTTCCCCATCTTCAGGTAGCGCCTGAAGTCCTTCATATTCAACCGTGCCTTCCCCCACCACCCCCACCACCCCCGCCGGCTAAACGCATCTTAACACCATTAACAAAATCTCACGACAGCACTCGAAAAGGGAAGGGAGTTTCCCCCGAACTTGGCCAACAATCCTCCAGGTAGAATTGGTCGTTCACTCCGTGGCTGATTAACCCATTTTATTTTTTATCCTATTTTATGGGTTCAACACTCGCGGTTTTGAATTTCAATTGCAGCCTCAGATGGTGTGTGTGTGTGTGTGTGTGTGTGTGTGCGCGTGCGTATGGCGGAACATCACAGGCTTAATCAGCATTGCCCTTACCATTACACCCACCTGAGGCCTGTAGCTTGATCCGTTTCATAATCGTGCATGCAGCCCAATATTTTCCATTGTTTTGCCCAAGAGATTTACTTGTTGTGAAGCAACAGAATCTTTCCCCCTCCTGAAGGCAGTGACTCACCCAGACGCGTGTTTCTCTTGTACTGTATTTACATTCTCCGTGTGCCATCTCAAATAACGTGTCTGATCTTAGGCCAAAGGTTCACGTAAGATCCACTTTACCCCATTCCCTGATTCACAGTGAGGTGCCGGCCCAGATAACCCGCAAGGCAAAAATACTGCAGTTGCTGGAAATCTGAAATAAAAACAGAAGTGGCCGGGAACACTCAGCAGGTCAGGCAGCATCTATGGAGCTCCCCGCACCCCCACCCCCACCAACCACCACCACAGTTGGTCATCGACCGGAAACGTTGACTCACTTTCCTCTCTCCATAGATGCTGCCTGACCGGCTGAGCGTTCCCGGACACTTCTGTTTTTATTTCAGACCGTGGGCAAAAAAAAACAAACAAAAAAACATGTTTGCCCTACAACTGCACTTCACACTTCACGGTGAGCACCTTTGGGTTGTTGTTAATTTCACGAGCGAAGCTTTGCCCTCAAAAATACAGTCGATCGACTTTTACAGCGTATCCCGCGAAGCACTTTGTGACGGCCCGAAGACGCGATAAGGCTGCGGTGTCAAACTAAAGGGTTATTATCCTTAAGAGACAGCGATCATCAGCGCAAACAACAACAACAACAACAAGATTCCATTTATAAAGCGCCTTTCACGTCAGGAGGACGTCCCAAGGCGCTGGGGCAAACTCCACTGTTGGGGCTTAAGCACGAGCCAATTTGCTGCTTGCCAGACAGACAGACAGACAGAGAGGTAGGTAGGTAGGTAGGTAAGGTAGGTGGGTAGGTATGTGGGTGGCTGGGGGGTTGGGTGAGTGGGTGAGTGGGTGAGTGGGGGGTTGGGTGAGTGGGTGGGTAGGTATGTAGGTGGGTGGGGGTTGGGTGAGTGGGTGAGTGGGGGTTGGGTGAGTGGGTGGGTAGGTATGTGGGTGGGTGGGGGTTGGGTGAGTGGGTGAGTGGGTGAGTGGGGGGTTGGGTGAGTGGGTGGGTAGGTATGTGGGTGGGTGGGGGTTGGGTGAGTGGGTGAGTGGGTGAGTGGGGGTTGGGTGAGTGGGTGAGTGGGGGGTTGGGTGAGTGGGTGAGTGGGGGGTTGGGTGAGTGGGTGGGGGTTGGGTGAGTGGGTGAGTGGGGGGTTGGGTGAGTGGGTGAGTGGGGGGTTGGGTGAGTGGGTGAGTGGGGGGTTGGGTGAGTGGGTGAGTGGGGGGTTGGGTGAGTGGGTGAGTGGGGGGTTGGGTGGGTGGGGGGTTGGGTGAGTGGGTTTGTATGAATAATATATTGTAGTTTATTGACATGACTCGATTTGAAGCAGCACTAACCCCCCCCCCCCCCCCGGGCTGACAGACACCAGAGAGGGATCCAGACACACACACATAGACACACACACACAGACACAGACACACACACACACACAGACACACACACACACATAGACACAGACAGACACACAGACACACACAGACACACACAGACACATAGACACAGACACACACACACACACACTCACACACACAGACACACACACATAGACACAGACACTCGCACAGACACACAGACACAGACACTCACAGACTCACAGACACACATAGACACAGACACAGACACACACATAGACACAGACACTCACAGACACACACATAGACACAGACACTCACAGACACACACATAGACACAGACACTCACAGACACAGACACACACAGACACACAGACACACACACAGACACAGACACACACATAGACACAGACACTCACAGACACAGACACAGCCGCTCCATCACTGACAGATACCCAGTGACGCGCTGCAGTAACTCGGGGCTGCACCACCGCTGCTGTGGGGGAGTGGTCCACAGAGCCACAGAGCCACAGAGCCGAGGCTTCAGTTTGCGAGTGTGAAGGAGAGGAGAGAGGAGAGAGGAGAGAGCAGCCGCTGCTCAGTGCCCCCACACTCACTCACTCTCACACTCACTCTCACACTCACTCACTCACTCACTCTCACACACACTCACACTCTCACACTCACTCACTCTCACACTCACTCACTCACTCTCACACTCACTCACACTCACTCACTCTCACACTCACTCACACTCACTCACTCACTCACACTCTCACACTCACTCACTCTCACACTCACTCACTCACTCACTCACTCTCACACTCACTCACTCACTCACACTCACACTCTCACACTCACTCACTCACACTCACACTCTCACACTCACTCACTCTCACACTCACTCACACTCACTCACTCTCACACTCACTCACTCACACTCACTCACACTCACTCACTCTCACACTCACTCGGGGCAGTGCCACTCCGCTGCTGTATCCAGAACAGCGCTGAACTCTCAACACTGTTGTCCTGAGTCTGTGAAGTCTGTGTCTGTGTCTCTCTCTGTGTCTCTGTGTCTCTCTCTGTGTCTCTCTCTGTCTCTCTGTCTCTCTCTGTGTCTCTCTCTCTGTCTCTCTCTCTGTGTCTCTCTGTCTCTCTGTGTCTCTCTGTGTCTCTGTGTCTCTCTCTGTGTCTCTCATCACCATCGTCCCCTCCATCGCCCCCTCTCACACTCTGGGATATGCTTCACAGAGGGTATCCCAACCAGGAACACAACAGCACCGCCTGATCTCCACACAGGTAAGAAGGGAAGGGAAAGCTGTCTTGGCTTGCCTTGTGTTGCATTGCATTGCATTGCCTTGGCTTGGCTTGGCTTGGCTTGGGTTGCCTTGTGTTGCATTGCATTGCATTGCCTTGGGTTGCCTTGGCTTGGCTTGCCTTGGCTTGCCTTGGCTTGGCTTGCCTTGGCTTGGCTTGCCTTGCCTTGGCTTGCCTTGGCTTGCCTTGGCTTGGCTTGCCTTGGCTTGCCTTGGCTTGCCTTGGCTTGCCTTGGCTTGGCTTGGCTTGCCTTGGCTTGGCTTGGCTTGCCTTGCCTTGGCTTGCCTTGCCTTGCCTTGCCTTGGCTTGCCTTGGCTTGGCTTGGCTTGGCTTGCCTTGGCTTGCCTTGCCTTGCCTTGCCTTGGCTTGCCTTGGCTTGGCTTGGCTTGACTCGGCTTGGCTTGGCTTGGCTTGCCTTGCCTTGGCTTGGCTTGGCTTGGCTTGTCTTGGCTTGGCTTGCCTTGCCTTGCCTTGCCTTGCCTTGCCTTGGCTTGGCTTGCCTTGCCTTGCCTTGGCTTGGCTTGTCTTGGCTTGCCTTGCCTTGCCTTGCCTTGCCTTGCCTTGGCTTGGCTTGGCTTGCCTTGCCTTGGCTTGGCTTGTCTTGGCTTGCCTTGCCTTGCCTTGCCTTGCCTTGGCTTGGCTTGGCTTGCCTTGCCTTGGCTTGCCTTGCCTTGCCTTGCCTTGCCTTGGCTTGGCTTGGCTTGGCTTGTCTTGGCTTGGCTTGCCTTGCCTTGCCTTGCCTTGGCTTGCCTTGGCTTGCCTTGCCTTGCCTTGCCTTGGCTTGGCTTGGCTTGGCTTGCCTTGGCTTGCCTTGCCTTGTCTGCACTACTTTAAAGAGAAATTTGCATTGCACTCTTTATTTATTTATTTGTTTCTTTCTTTCTTTATTTCGTTATTTGTTTGTTTGCTTTTTACTTTATTGTATTGTATGTATTTATGGCCTGGGTTTGCTGAGTTTTAATGTGCATTTACAGTTAAAAACACACATACACACACACTCTCTCTCTGCAGTCAATATTTTCCATCCATTCACCACCATCACCCAATATTTCTGGCTTCGGGGGTTAAAAGAACGAGTCAAGTGTGTGTGTGGTGTGTGGGGTTTGTTTTTGGTGGTGGGGGGGGGTGGGGGAGACCCAATTAAATTGTATGTCTGCGTTGATCTCTGTGCCATCCCAAAGTCACTTTCAGTGGATTGGCAGTGACCTTGGCAGAGACCGACCATGGAAATATCTTTTTTTGGTTTAAATGTCTGGTTTAAACAGTTATCAGTTATCTATTTGTTATTATTATATTATTATCAGTTCACATCCACTTTAATAAAGGTATATGTGTGTGTGTGTGTGTGTGTGTGTGACTTCAAACTATTTCAGCATCACTGCTGTTCAGTTAAAAAGCGAATCTGGATTTGCAAATTGTTCAGAGGCTGAGCTGCAGTACTTTACAGTCATACACTTATTTGTCAGCAGTTAATAAATAATCCATTGCTATAATATTTTTTTTGGTGGGGTTGGGGTGGGGGGGGATGGGAGGGAATTGGGGGTTTGCTGGAGAGATTGTCTTTGCCCGGTTGATGGTTTATATCGAGAGTAAAGTGTTTGGTTGTTTGTTTGATGGCTGTATTTAGGGCGTACAACATTTTTTTTTAATTTCACACACAGAAGAAAGAGGATTTTTTTTTCTCTCTCTCTCTCTCTCTCTCTGCAAAACCCAATCCATTTCCACTCTCACGCGAGATCGCCAACTACTGAGCTGGTAAGTCCGAATTCAATTGCTCCGAAATGAATGCTTTTGTTCTTGTTGTTGTTGTTGTTGTTGTTGTTGTTTCTCTGGCTATTCACGTGTCTTGGGATTTGAAGGGATAAATAAATCACAACCCGTTAATGAGCGGCAACTAATCTCTTCCCTATTGCTGGAGTTGTTCAACCATCGCTGTCTCTGTCACTGGGTACCACACATTCTCCCTTCCATTTCCTTGATTTAAGTATTTAGGAATTTATATATAATAATAATAATAATCCTTGCGTTTGATACAGTGCCTTATCACGTCTTCGAGACGTCTCAAATCGCTTCACAGAATATATTGTAAAGTGGATTGACTATATTTTGTGGGTGAAACATATATAGACATGCACATATTTTATATATATATGTGTGTGTGTGTGTATTTTTATATATGTATCAATTGCTATTGAGTACAGGTGGAAAGGGAGACATTGCAAACTTTGGAGGAGAATTGCAGGTATTCTTACCCCACACAAGGTTGAGCCAGCCTTTTCTGTGAAAAACAAACTTAATGTCGTTAACAGTCTTACTACCGTGTGGTGGCAAAATATTTCATCATTTTGACTTCCTGGATACATACAGTCCACCGCCACCTGAAAATCTGACCTCCGGATACGTGCAAAATCCTTGGCAATCCCAGCAACAATGATATGCGAATCAAATATCTTATTTTATATTGCTAGGTTATAATCTATACGTATCTTTTTTTAAAAAATAATTAATTTGAATTTCCTAGCAATCCTCTGCTCCTACTATAGGGGAATGCCTCGTGACCTGTGCATAAAAAAAACTATAAATAATAGGGTAGCTGCTGTGTTGTCTGTGAATTAGAGTACAATAGCATATCAGGTCAGTTATTCCAGTCCAGCTGATCTGGAATGGCACGTTAGTTGATATATTTCTGCAGTGAAACAGCACAGCATCAGTACAGTAACACTAACCTTTCTCTCGAGGGGCTGAATCCAGCTCACGTTCCCTATTCATAGGTGAATCCCTGTTATGTTTTGATGTGTGCTTATGGTCACCTCCTCCCTGCCTTCAACCCTTCTCCCGGCTCTCAGCATCAGACTCCGACACTGTTACCAAGACCGAGGCTCTCCTGATTGGCTTCCGTCAGCGCCTCCTCACCTCAGGCGCTGACAGCATCACCATCCGTGGTTGCACACTCCACCTTGCTAAGCCAGTCCAGAACCTTGGGGTCTTGTTTGACCCTCAATTATCCTTTCTTCCCCACATCTGCGCCATGACCCGCTCTGCCTTCCCCCACCTCCGCAACGTCGCCCGGCTCCGCCACTGTCCCACACCGCAGGCCCCCGAGACCCTCACACACACCTTCATTACATCCAGGCTCGACTATGCAAACTCACTGCTTGTCGGCCTCACCAACTCCTCCCTCCACAGGCCGCAGATCATCCGGAACCCACCAGCCTCCGTGACCCTATCACCCCCATCCTCGCCCGACTCCTCTGGCTTCCCATCACACAGAGGATACAGTTCAAAATCCTGGTCCTCACCTTCAAAGCCCTCCACGGTCTCGCTCTCCCCAACCTCTGCCACCTCCTAACTCCCTACCATCCTGTTCGCTCCCTCCGCTCAACGGGCTTTGACCTGCTTCACGTCCCCCGCCTCACTCGCCCCACTATTGGCAGGCGGGCCTTCTGCCACTCTGCACCCACCCTCTGGCAGTCCTTCGCCACCTTCAAGACCCACCTCAACACCCTCCTCTTCGACTGTGCTTTCGATCTTCCACTGCCCTCCACCCTCCCCCACCCCGACCCCCAGCTGTCTGTTCAGCGCCTTGGGACGTCCTCCCACCCTGAAAGGCGCTTTACAAATGTAATTTTGTTGTTGTTATTGTTGTTAAGTGCTCCCAAGACGCTGCCCAGTGCGAAGGAGCGCTATATAAATGCAAGTTGTTGTTGCTTCACAATGATAGGAAGAGCCAGACATAGACTAGGACTAACTGTCCTACCCGTTGGACCTGTTAGTCACAGGGTTAAAGACTCTTCGCTCTCTTTGAGTCTCAATGCTGCAGTCAGTGCCTTGGATTACTGCAGACCTGCGTGGCGTGGCTCCCGGCAGCCACTTCATCTCCAAGGGGAATCTGCTTTAACCTGCTCCCACCAGCCAGGAGGATATTATTTTCAGAAATGTTAATTTCATTGCCCTCCAGAGGGATGAGACGACCAACCTAGGATTCAAACCCAGAACCTTCTTGTCCTAACTCCATCATTTTACCGAGCAGCAAGTAGGAACCCAGTTGTTAGTCGATTGGTGGATCACTTTCCGGGGTAATAATCCCTTCTCACACAAAAAAAAGTATAATAATAATAATAATAATTGGTTCACTTAATCCACGACTGTTTATGGGGAACTGTTTGCTGTGCTCAATCGGCTGCTGCGTTTCACCCACAAAATACATAGACACTACACTTTACAGTATATTCTGTGAAGCGCTTTGAGACGTCTCGTCAAGGCGATAAGGCTTATTATTAGTAGTAGTGTGATTATTGGTATTATTATTATTTTCCTCCTGACAGAAGGACACAGGATGTTATTTTAGAGTGACACTCAACATGATTGATCGTATGATTAGAGCGCGGGGTAATTTTTTACAGTATTTTGAATGTGGTTTACAAAAACATTGAAAGTGCAAGAAATTCCGTCTGGGAAATTGGATTGGTTGTGTTTCGGTAATGTTGCACTTTCCGTATTGGGTTTGTCATTGGAATGACTTTCTACACAAAAAAAAATCTCTTTGTGTTTCGTCAGTGGCTTGGTGCAATATGATGATGTGCTTAACATGACTGCAGGCTCTTCCCTTCCAAAGGAATTCCTGATTTCAGGCAGAGGCTGTCTTGCGTCGGGCAATGGTGATACGAGGCCGTTTCATTAAAGGAACTCATACGTTGCTTGTCAGCTCTGCTCTCCCATGATCTGGCAAGTTCTTACCTCCCAAATTGTCCACATTTGTCCCTCTCTCCGAGCAGCCTGGGAACCTCAAAGCTCTCGGTCTCCATTTGAATGATCCACCATATCGTCATCTGTGCCTGTGAGTTATTCCCTTAAAAATAATAATAATAATTTTGTCGCTTCAATCCACACTTGGCTGCTGCGTTTGGCCCACAAAATACACAGTCGATTCGCTCTGCAGCGTATCCCGTGAAGCGCTTTGAGACGTCTCGAAGATGCGATAAGGCGCTGTGTCAAATGCAAGGATTATTATTATTATTATTACACTGTGTGTTCTTCACACAATGTGCACACAACCATTTCAATGAAATGAACAGCCCAGCCCTTCCGATAAAACCCCTCCATATTCTGTGCGTGAGTGTGGATTCCAGAACCAAGAAAAATTAACGGAGACTTTGGAGCGAGTTTGGAAACTCTAATGCAATTAGTGCCCGGATTGCTTACAGTTTTGAGCACAGGATCTGGTATATTTATTTAAACCTTTATTTCTTAGAATCCACGTGGGTTTTGTTTTGGTTGGCAAGGAGGGGATGATTATGTTTTTTTTGTGTGCGTGTGTGTATGTAGTGTATGAGTGTGTGTGTGTAGTGTGTGTGTGTGTGTGTATAGTGTATGTTTGCGTGTGTGTGCGCGCGTGTGTATGTGATTAAACAACATGTAACGTGCTTGATGGCTTTTCTTAAAAGAGATGCTGCAGGGATGATTGTCTGAGGGTTGGTATTGTTTCCATACAGGGATCAACTAATACCCAGGAGTGATTACATGGCACAAATTAATGACAAAAACATGAGAATGCAGCTTTATTATTCCATAACCGTCTAAAGCCAGATTAGGTTGAGATGACAGCTTTAAAATCATTTCTCATGGACTTTTGTCTTGCTGGTGGGTGAGAGCCACACAGGCAGTTAATGACCAAGATCTCTGTCCTTGAGGCTCGGGGACTGGCAAATTGGAGGATTTATTTAATTGCTGTCAATTTATTGAGTGATAATCCAGTTAATTATGGGGAACTTGACCCTTATATTTATGTGTGTATGTTGCAATACAATGATTAACAACTGGGAAGTAATACCTTAGTGATATCTGTATGTTACCTATAACATGAATGCAAGGAATCTACTCCTACGCAAGCATGCACGCAGACACACACGCACATACATACACAAACACGCACATTAGCTGTGATACATGTGAAACGTTGCCTCCGTTCCTCCGGGTCTGGCCTCCTCCTCGCCCCCCGGGTCCTCCGCTCCACCCTCGGCGGCCGTGCCTTCAGCCACTGCGCCCCGAGGCTCTGGAACTGCCTTCCTCACTCCCTTCGTCTCACTCCCTCCCTTCCCATTTTCAGGTCTCTGCTGAAGACCTTTCTTTTCGACCGCGCCTTTGGTCACCTTCCCCGCCCCCCCCCCCCCCCACTCCCCCCGGCTCAGCCCCGGGATCGGTTACTGTGAAGCGCTCTAAGACGCCGTCTGGTGTGGAGGGCGCTATATACATCCAAGTTGTTGTTGTTGTTGATGATACAACTTGTGCAAAAGAGCTCGGAACGTGTACACATCAAAGCACTTCATCCCAGTGGAAAAAATGATATAGCACAAACTTGTCTGATTTCATTCTTTTTTGTTGCCCCAAAAAGGTTCATAATGATAATAATAATAATAATTATAATAATCTTTGCAATTGATATGCCGCCTTTCATGTTGGGGGGGAGAAAAGCGATTCACTGGATTTACTGTCAGGTGGAGTGACTGCACTTTGGAGGCAAAGGCAACAGTTAATTCTCAAACACACACGGCAAAGTCCCACAAACAGCTCGGGACACTTCACACCTGATTAGATCTTTCTCTGAATTTACACCTGACCATGGCAAAGCCATGCAACGTTTCAGATTTACTTTGACACCGCACTAAACCCTGGAGTTACTCACTCTGGTGGAATAAACGTTGCCGTGCCCATTTTCTTGCCAGGTTCAGCAGGGATGCGCACGACAGTTCAATACC